CCTTACGGTAGACAAGGTCGAATTTACTGCTCATAAACTTCTACCGTAAGGTTCTTTTCCTCGCCTTTGTAGCTCTTAATAAATTTTGTCTTTTTCTTATTTCCCCTAAACCTTGTTCCATCATCCATTTACTCAAGCTCATTAAGTATGTTATGCGATGTTTTTCTCTGTCTGTCTTGTTTTCAATCTGTCCTGTGAGTATCAGATTTTCCAACCCCTTTTTTGTGCCCCAGAAATTTCAACTGTCTCTTCCTGATGTTGAATATAAGTTCCCATTTTGTGTCCATATTCTCACATGTTAGGTTCATCATATTCTCAGCATCCTTCTGTAGAACCACATTTCTGTCGCTTCAGATTTCCTCACCACTCTCAAAAGACTATGGATCTGCATCAGGAATCTTTTTCATTAAAATACATGCCGTTGCCTATGCAGCACGTCTCCATTCTCACCATCATCGATTTTGTCTAAGAACCAATACTGCTTGGCACCGATTTCGTTTTTACAGGAAGTGTCAGCAGTCTGAATGCAATGTTGGACTGTTCCATTTTTTTATACCTGACGGAGCCCATTGCTCTTCAGGCTACTTTTGAATTCGGTGTTTTCCATCCCCTAAGCTGTTTGCCCAACCAGATACCATTGCCATGACAAACGGTAATATTGCATAGCCTCTCTCATCTCGTCTTCTCTCGGCCGACGATTGCTAATTGATTTGTTTCAGCAATAAAAGACTTCGGACACAGAGGGTTTTAACTTAACTATTTTTATTACTTATGTCGACATAACTATCCATTGGGGAGTCGTTTCGGACACGAAAGACAACACGTCTACATCGCTCGACGGATAAGGACCAACACTCCGAATCTTCTCCCTTCTCTATGTTTCCCACGCTAGCCCACCAATCAAAATCGACTTCCCTATTATAGCTCATATCTGACCCGGAATGTCAACCTCCGGATGTCGGATCCTAGTTTTCCTTCCCCTAAAAATACTAGTCTGCTAAACTATTATTTAACAATAAGAGAGGACTTCCAAACAAGATGAATTCTTCTGCAAATTAAGGTAGTCAGACAATTCAAATATCTTGGCTTGATTATCCTGGAGGAAGGATCCACAACAGAACTAATTTTAAGAGCAGACCGATAAACAGTAGCTGTCGTAAAAGTAAATATCATCTATGTGAAATCAAAGCACAGACTGTTGCTTGCCTTGAAAATCTTTCCATGCATCTGCGAATCTTGGATATTAACAGCGAATTATCTAAGCATTAGAAATTAGATGCTACAAAACCATCTTGGGTATCTCCTATGTTAAACGCTTTCACAAATTAAGCACTGCGAGACACAATCAGACAGAAACTGGCTGGTTGGGGGACCTCACATCCACCGTCAAGAATATAAATTTGAAATGTTATGGACACTTCACAAGAGCCAGGAATCATTCGCCTGTCATCTTACAAAGTATCCGTTTCGGCAATAGAAGAAGAAGAAGCAATGGGAGGAGTTGCTTGTCTGACAAAGGCGGAGGGCGGAGTCTCTTTCGGGGAAGTAAACCGACCCTTAACCCGTTTATACGGGTTCAAAAGGCATATTTTTGGCCGAACACACGGGCTCGGAGATCCCACGTTAAACCGGCCTTGTGCCACATGATGCCCTCGTGGGGGGAGGGTGACTAAATACTGTTCAGTCTGAAGTCAGAGCGAGTCAGTTAGAGTGAGTCAGTCAGTCGAGTCAGAGGCAATCCGAAACAGAGTCGCGTTCAGACAATTACTACAAGACATTGGAATAGTGATACTGGTCGAGACTACATTGTTCTCCCTACTAAACCTGATTGTTCGTACTAACACTTTCTTCTTCTCTGTATATATTCCTGTTTGTAATATATCTGAGTTATTCCATATCCGTGTTCGAGTTCTTCTTTATTGGTTCTACCTTGGACTATCGCCGTGGTACAAGGACCTGGACCATAACAATTATTGATCTTTCAAATATTTATTTTTAGTAATCACAATAATAAAAATGTTCTTATATATTTCATGATAATTTTATACTTATTTTTAGGTTTACTCTCTTATGTTTTTGATTCGTTTCTATTACTGTCACTGAAGTAATAAGTCAAAGTGGCAATTCGATAACGAACTATTCACGCCGACATCCAGTGTAAAATATAAATAATGATCCCTTGTCATGGTAGGGGCTTTCTTCTCCCTGTGATCCCAAGAACGAAGTCATCTGTCGTTATGGTCGAGGGGGTAGCCAGACTGAATGCGATTAACTCGCGAAGCCCCCAACGGCGGAAGATGTACACGATCTCATCGTCCAAACCGGCGGAAGAGAGTGCGGCCAGTCGGTCTTGCATAACCAAGGCGGACAATTGATAGACCAAGCATCCCTACAGAACAACGCAACCAAGTTTGCCAGATCCTGCCGGTCTCAATCCCCTTTGAGCGGCAAGGGTGGTAATTCTGTGTGGTCTTCTCCTTTGAGCATAGTTGTCCACCAAAATCAAATTCACGCGAATGGCGTAGTCAGACTCCCATCGCCATTTGGAGAAATAGTAACACGATCCCGATGCTCAGATACTCGCAGGTACCGACAACAATATATATATATATATATATATATATATATATATATATATATATATATATATATTAAGTCATTTTTTATGTTAATACATTCTTTTATAGATACAAATATTTAAGTAAATGCTCTGTTTTATAATAAACAGTATTAAACAACATTTACCGGACTGAATGTCCGAGAAACATAAAAAAAAGGTCTTAAAATAATTGTTGGACTTTGTCCATTTCATAATGTGTGACGTCATTTGTTTACATTTGAAAACACCATGAGGAGATATGAATGTACGTGAGAAGATTAAAGACAGTAAAATCGACATAGCTGAACAAACGCTCCTCTGAGGCCGAAATGGTTAAGGCACGACAGGCTATATGACGGTTCCGTATAGGATACAGGTTCGATTCCTGTCGGTGGACGAAACTTTTCTATGAAAATTTCCCGGACATTCAGGCCGGTAAATGTTTAATACTGTTTATTATAATCAGAGCATTTACTTAAATATTTGTATCTATAAAAAGAATGTATAAACATAAAAAAATGGTTTAAAATAATTGTCGGACTTTATCCATTTCATAATATATATATATTGCTTAAACGTTAATTTTTATTTCTAATGGATACTCACATTTGAATCGATACTCTGTTTATTTATTAAATATCATATTTATTTACCAACCACCCTGAATATTCGAGAAATTTCATAAGAAAAATAAGCGCAATCCGACAGAATACCAAACTGCATTCGCCTAGGGGAAACCATCACTAGGTCCGTGGTGCTTTTGACGCCTCGGCCACGAAGAACTTATTGGCCAAAGTAAAGACCGAATCGTGTTTCTGAACACAAACGTTGTTTCTGTTTACCTTAAGAAACTGAGTAGAGATGTATATTTCGAAATGGGAAAAGGTTCGTGTTCAAAAGAACGATTTGGCCGGTTGGAGCATCAGGACTAACAGCTCAAAAGCACGTCAGCTCTAATGACAGTTACCTTATGGGAACGCAGCTTCGAATCCTGACGGTGAACAGACATTTTTCTAATAAGATGTCTTGAATATTCAGTTTGGTAGATAGGAATACATAATTATACCATTTAACAAATAAACAGAATATCTATAAAAAAATATATATTAAAAATTAGGTTTAAGCAATAAATTAGAATATGACGAATTAATAACAGAAAAAAATCTTATTTGCCTAATATATATATATATATATATATATATATATTAATAATAATAGTACTCGTTTGGAAAACCTCGAATAGCTCAACTTGCAGATATGTCAGGACAAATCGGCACCGGGGGAGAAAACTGGAAATAAAAAAAGAAGAACTAAAAACTTCAGAACAAGACGAAACAAATGGCCAAGTGCTTTAAGTCTTTAGTCCCCACCCCACCACACCAAAAAAAAAAACGAGTAGAAAGACTAAAACTTAGAGTGCTCAATACGCTAAGCAGAGCGATAAACTTTACCCTGAAGATCCGTTTAGGTAAAACCTAGGTAGATTGGTCTGGCATCTTAGGATTTATTCTAGTATATATATATATATATATATATATATATAAATATATATTTATACATTACATTGCTATATTTATGAGCTAACGTGCTCGCTATCAGGGATCTAGTAGTATATAAATAAAAATATGGACATTGTGGACAACACCCAGTGGCGACAGTGTGTCTCATGCTTAAACGCAATCATTAGAATATATATATATATATATATATATATATATATATATATATATATATATATATATATATTCCGCTTAAGTTGTACCATTTTCTCATTCGTATGTGATAGATTCTGCTATAAATTTATCCATCAGGTTCTGAACATTCCAGGAGACATTCCTGATTTTAATAACTGCGTCTAACTTCCGGAAGAATATTTTCACGGATTAAATATCTCAGTGAATAATTTGAAACTTGGTGGGTATATTTATAAGAATTAAGGAAAATCGTGGGTAGAATAGATGTAAATTAAATACTATTTTCAATAATATAAGTATAGGGAGCAAGTAAGATATCGATGATAAAAAAAATACTTTCAAGCGTATAAAATTTTTCGTGCATTTAAATAATGTAAATGGTTTCTAAGGGAAATGACTCTAGTGTTTCAACATGTAACAAGAAGATAGCAAAAAAGATACACAGTAGAGACAAATAAAAAATAAGGAAAATAAATGGCGAAAATAGGAGGCTGATGATTAAAATGCAGAAGAAATATAGCGGGAACTGTGTGAGAAGAGATGAGGAAGAACAAAATCAAGAGGCAGAACAATAATGGTAGAAGAAGAAGAAGAAGAAGAAGAAGAAGAAGAAGAAGAAGAACAACAACAACAACAACAACAACAACAACAAAAAGAGATTTAGCAAAAAATAAAAAGAAAGGGAAATGAGTTAAGCATGCTGGAAATTATAGAAAAGAAAGAGACAGAAAAAGGAGAAGCAGATGGGAAGACGAATGGGAAGGTGAAGAAAAAGAAGAGGATAATAAGAAGTTAAAAGCGAAAGGGTAGTAGTAGTAGTTGTAAGAGATGACGACGACGACAAAGAAGAAGAACAACAACAATAAGAATAAGTTTATGATAATGATGAAGTCACGCAGTAATGAAATAAGTATATGAAATGAAGGCGTTTTGTCGGGCATAAATAAATGCGAAAACGAAAGTGAAAGCAAACTGGAAAGGCGTACAAGTAAAATTATTTGCCGTTGAGAGTGATATACTGACGGTTGATGAATTGAAATTGAGAATGAAGAATCCAGCAAATGTTTGGTGATATTTTTTTCTCTTTTTATGATATATATGTATAATCTAACGTGTGAACAGTGGAGTTTAATCACTATGTCAATGGGCTTTATGGAAACAGAGAATAGAAATAACCTGCGTTTTTCGCGGTTAATGCTTCTTCTCACCTTAGGGAAAGACAAAAGATGTATAACAAATTTTGTAATACGAGTGAATTATTGCTAAGACAAGCCACATAATATCTATAGGGTACAGTTTTGTAGAGAAACAGACCTATATACTCATTATATTATCTATTACATGCATATGTATTAAAACATTATAACTGCATAAACATCTATATATATATATATATATATATATATATATATATATATATATATAAAAATTGTGTATATATATATATAAATGTTTTTGTGTATGTTTCTAACAATTGAATATAAATATTCATATATATGTACTTACAGCATCTATCTATCTATCTCTCTCTCTATATATATATATATATATATATATATATATATATATATATATATATGTGTGTGTGTGTGTGTGTGTGTGTGTGTGTGTGTGCTAAGATATAAAGTTTTCAATATAGTTTTAAAGTGTATATTTATGGGATAAAGTGCTCAATATAAGATTGCATAAAGCATGTGTAAATTTAAAAGTGAACATAGATATTCAACACTTTATTTACACACGCGATTGCATCTAGCACTTTAAACATAAACTATCGCCACCTAAGACAATATTTCTGTATGTATATATATATATATATATATATGTGTGTGTGTGTGTGTGTGTGTGTGTGTGTTGTGTGTGTGTGTGTGTGTGTGTTTTAAATAATGTATAATAGGTAGAAAACTTTCTTTCAAATTTTCTTGGTTGAATACAACAGACAAGGCAAAGTTGATGATTTGTTTAATTTAGTTTTTCAAATATTTTTCGTTTTGTGCGGGGTAGAGAGTGTATTACTTGTCTGCAGATTTTATTGCCCCCAGCGTATTCGGACATTTTTTTTTAGCCATTTAGACAAATCCTTTAGAAACTTTTCATTCATTCACCCTCATATATATATATATATATATATATATATATATATATATATATATATATATATATATATATATATTACTAATTCTTATTATCGTAGCGACATTCTACTCTGTTATTTTTGTTTCACTAAACAGGCACTTTCAATTTAATCTTGTATATCGTTTTAGAGACATTTTACACTTGTTATCCAAAACCAATAATACTATTTCATTCTTCTTCGTAGTTTTATTATGACCAATTACATTATACTTCATAAACTAGAGTTATTTTATTCATTTATAACTGAAAGTAGCGTCAAAAACCTGCTCTGTTGTAACACACCTACGCCATAAAACCAGCAGTGACCAGAAGATGATCAGGTAGTATCCAGACGAGCAGTGACCCGTGATTATAACTGCCTGCTAGTACCAGGTCAACACACTATCGACCTTCTCTGACTGTCTATCGTCCTTTGACACCTCCCAAGCGATTTCTTACAAGTTACTTTATACGTCATAACCTAGAGTTATTTTTATGACTTCCATTTATAACCGGAAGTAGCGTCAAAATCCAGCGCTGTTGTGACACACCTACACCATAAAACCAGCAGTGACCAGAAAATGATCAGCGATCACCAGCAACCAACTGACTCCCACCGACCACATCTTCTACCAATCCACTTGGCAATTCATGTTTCACTTCCTGTTACTCATCATCTCGCAGATTGCTATTTTCAACTTGCTAGTACCAGGTCAACACACTATCGGCTTTCTCTGACTGCCTATCATACTTTGATATGTCCGAAACGGTTTCGCCTTCATCTTCTGGTTAGAGACAACCATTTGTCCTGGGCTATGACTGTCAGCTAGTACCAAACTAATACACTATCAACCTTCAGCACCACACAAGTTTCTGCGGTCATCATCAACTGTGGACGCAAGTAAGACCATCAGAATTTACAAGATGGCCTTAGAAGCCAATCCATTAATTTAATGCAATTAATCCTCACTGGGGGTACTATTAATATAATCTCATGTTAAGCTAAGCAAAGCTTACTAAATAAAATAGATTTAGAAATCTGGTTAACAGTCTAATATTGCTAGAATCGTGGCAACATTCTACTCTGTCATTTTTGTTTCAGTAAACAGATACTTTCAATTTAACTTTGAACAGATTGTGCGATTTTTTAAAAATTCTGTACATCATTTTGGAGACATTTTACACTGGTTATCCAAAACCCAATAGCATTTCTTTCCTCTTCGAAGTTTTATTATGACCAATTACATTATACTTCATAAACTAGAGTTATTTTTATGACTTTCATTATAACCGAAAGTAGCATCAAAACCCTGCTCTCTTGTAAACACCTAGACCATAAAACCAGCAAAGAGACGGGAGGAGAGAGATAAAATTTGGAGCGGAGGGGATGCTTTTGTAGTATTTATTCCGTGCCGGGTCCTCCCAGCTACCACTATTTGGATGGAATCCTCGGATCTGTTCTGTAGCGTAGTTTTTAACTGGCTGTAACTAGCTAAGATCAGAAATTGACCAGTGGCCCGAGTTTCTCCACTCGGGTCTCCCACGTTAAAATAAATTGATTTTGTGTCCTGGGACGGATGGAGAAGAAGACGATTCGGTACTATCCGGACCAGTGACCTCCGATTATTAGCGACCAGCAAAGATCACCAACGACCAACTCACTCCCGCCGACCATGTCTTCTACCAATCTACTCTGCAATTCAGGTTTCCCTCCCTGCTTCTCATCATCTCTCAGATCACCGTAGTTACGGCAATGACTGCCTGCTAGTACCAGCTCAACACGCCGACTGTCTAATGTCCTTCGACACTTCCAAAGCAGTTTCGTCTTGACCAGTGGCCCGAGTGGAGACACTTGAGTTTCCCACGTTAAAACAAATTGACATTGTGTCCTGACTCAGTGGGGAGTCAACGTAAATAATGGGACGGATGAAGTAGAAGATGATTCGGTAGTATTCGGACTAACGACTACCAGGTGCGACCAATCGATCCTCAGCGATCATCATCGACCAACTGACTCCCACCGACCACGTTTTCTACCAATCCACTCGTCAATTCAGGTTTCGCTTTCTGATGCCCATAATGTAAGAGATCAGTGTGGTTTCACTCGCCTACCCCTGACTTAGACTGCGAGCACCGACTGTCTATCGATCTTCGCTGACTGCCTAGCGTCTTTCGACACACCACAAACGGTTTCGTCTTCATTTCCTGATTACAAACAACCGTCTGGCGTTGGCGACGACTGCCAGCTAGTACCAACTTAATACACCAACTCTCAAGTTCCTCCGGTCGTCATCAACTTTCGACGGATCTAAGACCAACAGTAAACAAACAGAACGACCACAGAGGTATTTAAAACATCTGTAGTCATCGATAGTTTTTTTTCCGCCATTAATATATTTTGGCATATTTTATCTAAACTGTTGTTTCTGGAAATGCTTGCCTTCGCTTGTGTCAGTTCTTCAATCTTAGTGACCACTCCATACACCATAATGTTGAATGGATATATCATCCAACACTTTTTCCGAATCCTCTACACTGTCCTCAGATTGACACCCAAACACTCTGAAATGTTCGTATTAGAGCTTCCGGCGCGAATTCCAAGCAGTACAGCATACCGTTTTCAAATTTTTGAATTGCGCCATGGTGCACTTTTTCTCGTAGACGGTGCCCAACTGACCCAATTACACTGTGCAGTCGACAGAATTAAAACAAACAGCGCGCATGTGCGAAATGAAAAATACAAAATGGCGACAATTTGCCCATCGCACTCTGTATGTACGTATATATATATTTATATACGTGTGTGTGTGTGTTTGTGTGTGTGTGTGTGTGTGTGTGTGGTGTGTGACGACTTAGACCTTGATATTCGGGTTCTACATGATGGAGTTTTCAGTATATCGTTACATGGGAGACGATTTCTGTGCCCGGCACCGTTAGGGAGTGCCTGAAAAATGTGCAAACCCAAGACTTGTGAGTAATATATGGGTTGATGACTACATATTATTGCTTTCTCTTGTAGATTATAATCAATTAATTGGCAGGATGCTGCTAGCAAAGTGTCATGATAGACAATTTTTTTCTCGACAGAATCTGTGTTGCATATTTATTCGCCCTTGCTTTGAACATTACTACCACATCTAGTCTGGTGCTCCTAATATATAATAAGAGATTATTGATAAAATTCAACAAAGAATCTGCAATTTTATTGGTCCTGACTTAACAAATCGGCTTCAGTCACTTTCCCGCCGCCGTAATGTACCTTCCCTGTGCGTTTTCTACCAGCACTTTCATTGTTCTGTTGATACATAGACTTTATGAATTTAAGCGCAATTCTAGATTAGCAGCAAGGTTACATCAATTCACTGTTGAAATAGCTAGATGTAACCGGAAGTTCTATGCTAATAGTCCCTTCTATAACACTTGTTGAAATTTGAATTCTATTTCGGCTTTTTGCTTCCCAGTCAACTTTTATCTTCAAGATTTTAAATGTAATGTCAGTCGTTACCTACTGTCTTTTTAATTTTCTTAATTCTTGCTCTTTTATAGTTCTCTCCCTTGAATATTTTTTTCTAATATTCTTTCACACTCAGTAACCTCGTGCATATTAGTGGTTTCAATGCATTACTTGGGATAAAAAATTTAAAAAAAGAAAAGAATATATAATCGAGGTCTGCGCCGTATAAATTCAGTTTATAAATTCAGTTTAATGTCCTACCAATGTAGATGAAAAATATAATTGGCTCAAATAGTGGGTGTGATGATAGAAAAAAATAGATGATGTTTATATTTATATGGATGAATTTGAAACAAGCATCACGCATCAAAATGGTTTTGCAAGGATGCTTGTCGGGTTGAATACTGTAAAACGTATATATATATATATATATATATATATATATATATATATGTGTGTCTGTGGGGGTCTGTGAATGTGTGAGTCCGTGCATGTATCTGAGTGATAGAAAAAGGGAGAAAGAAGGAGAATAAAACGGGCAACGAACTGTGGATATCTACAGTATATATTTTTAACTATATATATACATACATATAAAGACATTTTTATGTTTAACGTTCTTTTTTATAGATACAAGTATTTAAGTAAATGCTCTGTTTATAATAAACAGTATTAAATAACATTTACCGGCCTGAATGTCGAGATATTTTCATAGAAAATATTCGTCCTTTGGCAGGATTCGAACCTGCATCCTATACGGAACCGTCATTTACGCTGACGTGCCTTACCGTCTCGGCCACAAAAGGACAAAGGCAAGGTCGAATTTACTGCTTATAAACTTCAATCTTCCATGAATCTCGTACATTCATAACTGCTCTGGCGTATCAAATGTAAACAAATGACGTCATATATTAAGAAATGGACAAAGTCCGACAATTTATTTATTAAAGACATTTTTTATGTTTAACGTTATATATATATTATATATATATATATATATATATATATATATATATATATATATATATATATATATATATATATATATATATATATATATATATATATATATGTAGCTGTGCGTGCGTGTTATGAGAGATACAGATAAGGGGAAACATAAAGATAAAGACTGACTCTGATTTGGGGAAAACAGGTGACTGGTGGCTGCTTTTCATCCTTTTATGCTTGACGTATTGCTGGTTGCGTCCAAAGTGCGTTAAGCTATTGAAAGACATCCACCGAAATTTGCTTCGAAAAAATGTATGGCGAAAAATCCGAACGAAATGTGACGAACGCTGAAAGGACAAAATAGAAAAAAAAAAAATAACTCCCCTCCAAAAAAAAAACAAAGATTTTTTTTGAATGAAAGAAAATAAAAAAATATAGAATAAACATTAAAAAAAAAATGTATGCGATGAAAACCTACTATAAAAATACCTACTAAAAATGAGTACGAATATATATATATATATATATATATATTGTAACTATTGGAAAGAATTAGAAATGAAGAGAGATAATATTTTTTTGTGTGCAATTGTAGCGAACAGCTCTTTATTGAATACGGCGATAAAATATCAATTCTGATCTATCACTTTAGAACCATTTATGGCCTCGCCAGGTAGATTAGAAAATCACCAGGTAGATTAAAATCCGACAGGTAGATTAAAAACCGACAGGTAGATTTAAAAAAAGTAACATAAAATTGAAAATCGAGGAAACATTGAATCTGACAAGTCGATTTTGTTTGTTATAATAAAATAAGAAACTGAATTTTTTGTTACCTCCAAATATGAATTCCAAATTTATAGTTAAATGGAGTGCTAAACAAATTCAAGCAATATTTTGTAATGTTTCCACGATACTTAAATATAGAGAGGGAATGCAAAAATAGGTCAGCAGTCAGTATTATACCAGTGTTACCAGTGGTAATGTGCAAGTGGTCGAGTGGTTAGAATGTGCGCATTCTTACCATGAACCCCGGGTTCGAATCTCACCATGTTCTATTTGCCAGGAAGTTAGCGAATACTTTTGAGAAATACCTGAAAACTATACCAAGCCTTGTGAGTAATATTGGGTAGACGGAACCCTTGCTAGCACAAGTCATTGTTCAAATTGTTGATCACGCTAGATATTACACTCTTTCCCCGTAACTGTAACCACAGTCTGCTAAGCATAGATACAGTATAAACTGTGGGTGTTGAATAAACACAAATGCGTCTGCAATTGGCTAGCCGCCCTAGTAGAAAGATATCCTCGAATACGAGTGACCAGCAGTGTCACTAGTATTATAATAGTTGTTCAAGGATTCGCAGAACTATGGACTTCTTTATTATAATATGTAATGATTGTTCAAGGTCTTGCTGGGAAATTGATGAACTATGGACTTCTGTTGTTACAACGGAGAATATGAATGTCTACCATAATCTACATTCACAGGGGTCGGCAACATTTTTCGACTTGGGGTTTTAAAATCATTCACTCTGGCAACAGCATAATGTTCTGCCATATATTTTATATAGTAATATATAGTATATATACTTTAGTATATAATACATTTGAAACACTAAATTCTCTAAATGTATTAGTTATGATTAAATTAGTTCACCTCAAATTAAAGGATATATATATATATATATATATATATATATATATATATATAGGAAGATTGATGCGTGACAAACTGAAATTGTAATAAAACTTTTTTTATGTCATTGAATAGCAAAACATCGATGTATGGTGCATATAATATATAAATAATTATACAGCAAAAATTTATATACACTTTTCACACACACACACACACACACACACTGGATATATATATATATAAATATATATATATAGCATATATATATATATATATATCTACTTTTATATTTAAGAAATGTAATAATATTTTTTCACATCGAATAGTTATGGTGATCCAGCAAAAAACTTAAGTGTATAACTGGATCATGGGTAAAAAAAAAAGGTTGAGCAACACTTGTGTATATCTACTTTTGCATTCCTCTGTTCAGAAATGAAGACGCGGAAGATTAAATATCTGGGAAGCGTTTTGACAGAAGACGATAAATGCAACACCGAGATCCGTAGACGTATTGGTATGGCCACGGACACATTCCAAAAGCTGGGCAGAATATTGCGAGACAGGAAGATTTCTTTGGTAAGAAAGAAAAGAATACTGAACTGTTACGTGGCATCTGTCCTTCTTTACGGCAGTGAATGTTGGACGATTTCCTCAAAGATGAAGAAGAGACTCGAGGCGACAGAGATGTGGTTCTACATAAAGAAGGATGCTAAGGATATCATGGACCGAGCGTGTGAGCAACGATGAGGTCTTAGAGAGGTTGCAAACAAGGAGGAGGTTTATACTTAACATCAGAAAGAGGCAGCTGAAGTTTCTGGGACACGTAATGAGAAAGGAGCGCCTGGAGAATCTGATACTCAAGGGTTGAACAGAGGAGAAAGAGAGACATGGGAAAGCAACGTGTGGCATACCTGGCTGACTTAAGCAAGTGGATGACAGAACGTGGTCTGGGGGAGATGGCAGAGGGAATGAAAAGAGTTGCAAAGGATAGAGGTAGATGGAGGCCAATAATCACCTACGTCCAAAAAGGACATGGAGCATAAAAAAAGAAATAACTTCGTATGCCAACCTGCTTTCATTTGAATCTCATGAACATCCATTACACTTCTTTAAACGTCAATTTCGTCTATTAATAAAACGACGACTTTTTTTCGACATTGTAAATGTCATGTCTCATCAGAACCAAATTCATAATGTATTTCTACAGATTCTGTTTCTTTGAAATTTGTAAACTGCCAAATTTCGTGGGCGTCCCCGTGGCCTTCTGCACAATTTTTAATTCAAACTAGACTTCCTACTATCCAGGCTGTGAGACAAGACTAAGGAGCCTCAGTCAAGAACTACTAATACTAATATAAATAATAATAATCATCGAGAAATCGATTCGAGAAATTTAAAATGGCGTTGTTAGAGAAGATTATCTCCTGCTTTTCCTTTTATCTCACTCTTTATCACTATCTTCTCATTCAACCCGTTATCCATTCTAATCTCCCATGCACGTCCATCTCTTTGCTAACTATTAAACACAATTCTTGGCTTGGTATTAGGGAAACTATAATAAAAAAAGAATGTTCTTATTGAGGGAAACACACACACATACACTCACGCACACACATATATATAGAGAGAGAGTAAAAGAGAGATTGAAAGAGATAGATAGATAGATAGATAGATAGATAGATAGATAGATAGATAGATAGATAGATAGGAATATATTTGGCCAAATAGATAGATAGATAGATAGATAGATAGATAGATAGATAGGAATATATTTGGCCAGATAGATAGATAGATAGATAGATAGATAGATAGATAGATAGATAGATAGATAGATAGATAGGAATATATTTGGCCAGATAGATAGATAGATAGATAAATAGATAGATAGATAGATAGATAGATAGGAATATATTTGGCCAGATAGATAGATAGATAGGAATATATGTGGCCAGATAGATAGATAGATAGATAGATAGGAATATATTTGGCCAAATAGATAGATAGATAGATAGATAGATAGATAGATAGATAGATAGATAGATAGATAGATAGATAGATAGGAATATATTTGGCCTGATAGATAGATAGATAGATAGATAGCTAGATAGATAGGAATAGCTGATTATTGAGATGCTCCAATTTAAATATATGGCTCTATGCTCACTTGTTTACGTACGCATTGTTTCTCTGTATTCACGCGTTTGAACAAATTCCCGTTTACTTCAGGCAGTCACATTTTCGTACTTTAATATGAATTGGAAATTTTTGAAATTTCAATAATTGAACACTCCTGATTTTAATTATTGTTATTGCAAAGTTCAGTTGGTTAACTCTTACCTTCCCTGTCGTCTTTCTTTCATTGTGTTTTTTTTTCCCGCCTTTCTCGAAGACATTATTCAGAACACCGTACTCTTTTGGCCTTTCACTGTCGTATATTCGCTTGTTTTTGTTTTCTTATTGTCTTTGTGTTTCGCACCTCATTAAACCACAATAATGGAACGTACTTAAGTTGCCGCAGACGACACTATAGGACGGACATTTTAATATTATGGTATAGTGTTGTTTCTTTTTATATTGTGTTTCAATTACTTTATTTTTTTTTTTATCCGACACCTAGGAGCATTTTTGTTTTCTATTCCATCTCTTCCATCCATTTCTTTTACGATTTTCTCATAATTTTATTTTATTTTTTTTTTATTTACACTTGTCTTTTTGTTTTTCGCCGCCATTTCTCACTTCCGCATCTGAAGCAATTCTTTGTTGCCATTACCAAGTTTTACTTATTTGTGCTTCTTTTCTTGCAAATCTCCTCACAACTATTGCTGATTTCGCAAGCCTCCTTATCTGCTACGACTTTCTTTATCGTTTACTTTTCCCAGATTCTCTTTCTATTTCTCTCTATCGCGATTTATTTGATTCTCCGTTTAAATTTCTCCCCTTCTTCCTCCTCTTCCATAACCGCCTTTCCCATTCACGTTCTCTTCATTCTTCGCCCTTTCTCTTTTCATTCATTATCTTCGTCCTTTTCGCATCATTTCTACGATTCTCTCTTCCTAATTACCACCTTCAGAAGACTACATTTTTCCCCTCTTTTTCGTTTTCTTCCTTCTTCCTCTTTCCTTTCTTCAACTTCAACTTCCCTTCTTCTCTTCCCCACACAGTATCACTTCTGCCTTTTTATTATCTTTTTTTACCAATTCCAGTTTCCGCATTCTTTATTCAAAGTCCTCTTTCACCTCTTCTAACCTTGTCTTCCCCTAATTACGCCTCTTGCATCTTCTTCTAGGCTTACTGCCTTTTCTTCTTTTCAATTTTACTTTTTTAAATCCATCTTGATTTTTTCTTTCTCTTCTTCACTCCTGCAATCTATCTCCACTTTATTTTATTTTACTCTTTCTTTCTCCACTGGCTTTTACTCCTCACTATTTTCGATGTTGCCGGCCATTTTCCTGTCTGCTTCGTTTTTCTGCGTCTTTCTTTGATCTTGTCTTTCTTTTACTCGTTCTCATTTCTTTTATTCTTTCGTCAGTGTGATGGATATTTTTTTCTTCATTTTCAGTGCTTATAATTTCTTTTCTTTCTTCTTTTTTCTTCTTCTTCTTCTTCTTCTTCTTGTTTTTCTTGTTGTTTGTGGTTTTATTTCTCTTCTTCTTCTTTTTCTTCTAATTATTATTATTACTAATACTTGTAGTAGTAGTCGTAGTAATAATAGTAGTAGAAAAGAGAATGTTGTTCATTGATGGCAGTTATATCTAAATTTTTATCAGTTGTTAACTACTTCGGGTTTTGTTAATCATCTACTTTTTCTGTCATTATTACTTTGGACATAACATTATTATCATCATCATCATCATCATCATCATCATCATTATTATAGCAATTTGTTGCGCTTGTAGTAGCAATAGTAGTAGAACTAGTGTTTTCATTTCTCATGTAATTCGTTTTTGCTTTTTAAATTCGTCCTTCTATCAACACAACTACCACCATCACGATCATCATCATCATTAGCAGCAGCAGCAGTTTTCATAGAACATATGCGTCCTCCGACAGGAATCGAACCTGTATCCTACACAGAACCATCATATAGCCTGACGTGCTTTACCGATTTAACCTTATTTAGATTTAGATTTTAGATTTTTACTTAAATATTTGTATCTATAAAAAAGAATGTATAAACATAAAAATGTCTTAAAATAATTTTTGGACTTTGTTCATTTCATAATATATATATATATATATATATATATATATATATATATATGCCTGTGCATGGAGAAACATTCACACAAGATGGGAGCAGTACTTATGAGAAAATGATTTGTTCCGTTTCAAATATTTTAGGGTTACAAGAAGTTTGTTCGCCATATTTATTTGCTCATTTTTCATGTCATTCCCACAGCCCCAATAACAACAGTTAATTTTGTTGTCCTGTGATGCAACGTTCTCCTGATTTCTATCTCGAGCTCCTTAGTATTTATTTAGTTTCTCAAACCCTCTCAAAGAGGTTTTTTATTGACCTGGGCTGCAACCACCTGTGTTTTTAACCGAATTCTGCACAATTACTTTTTTTCTTGGATTTCCTGTCAGTCCGAACACTGAAATACCGGAACGTTATTACAGCGTGTAATGTCCTCTTGCCAGAGTATATTTTTACGAGCCTAGTTACCAATTCCCATCGGAGGTCTATGAGCAACAAGGACACTGTAGGAGAGTTATCGATGCACATTTGGGACGATTCGTTTAGATGGAGAGGGCTTTGTGAATGATATATGCAGTTCCACAAAATGGAATCTTTTGTAGCTCTGAGATGCTGATGTGTCCAGGAATTTTATTCGCATGATTTTCGGTAACTTTCTTTATCATACCCATCGCCCCTATCACAAAAGGGATAATTGTTGTTTTAAGTTTCCACATATGTTTCACTTCGATTTGCAGATCTTTATAATTTGACAGTTTTTTAAACTTTTTAGGAACATTGGAATTCTGTAAGCAATTCATATTATCATTATTAGTAGTAATTAGTAGTAATAGTAGTTGTTCTTTTTGTTATTTCCTTGGATTTCTGCTGTATACTGTTTTGAAGAATTAAATAGTGAAGAATAACAAAAAAGTGATTGCAGATGAATATTGTATTGAACAGTAAATGCAACAGAAGAGTGTTACATATTTTGGGAGTGTGTTGGTTGACCAGCTTTCAGTCTAAGTCACTGTTTTCTCCCTGAGGCCTACTTTTCCTAGTAACTTTATAGTAAGTGGAAGAGTCCACCATAGCGTCATTACAGCAACATATATACATTGCCTTTAGGGTCCCAACGAGAGACATAAGGTCAGAAATGACTTCATGACATTTTCCATTCATTATTTTTCTAAAAAAAAAACCCGAAGATCACACAAATTTTACCTAGATAAAGTTCTTCGTAATGTGTGAGCTGTACTTGTGAGCACAGATATTTGTATTTCTTTAAGGCATGGCCTACCAGGAATCCTTTCAATGAGACTATCGGAACATTTTCCAGTTAATCAAAGGGCTCTAACTACAACTGGCATTATTGATGGCCTCATGTACCAAGATTTTTGAGATTTCCACTAAAGGATTATTATTATTATTATTATTATTATTATTATTTTCTTTGATTTCTGGCGTTTACACATTTCTTTCCGGGTCCCGCGCAGGGACCTAAGGTTAGAAATGGCATCATGGCACTTTCCACTGACAAAAAAAAAAAAAAAAAAATTACACAGATAAAGCCCTTCGTAAAGTGTGGGCTGTACATTTTTTTTGTATCTACTTGAGGCATGGACTTCCAGGAATCCCTTCAATTTGTCTACTGCAATCTTTTCCAACCAGTCCTAGGGCTCCAACTACAACAGGGATTGTTGATGTTCCCATATGCCACATTTTCGAGATTTCTATCTCAAGTTCCTAGTATTTTGACAACTTTTTGTACATCTTCAAAGATACATTGCAGTCAGCAGGGACTGCCATATCAATAAGAAGGTACTTTTTTTGTTTGTGGTCTTTAATAACAATATCTGGGCGGTTGGGTTTGATTGTTTTGTCAGTGTGTATTGTGTAGTCCCATAGAATTGTAACATGTCCTATCTCCGTAACCGGGTCTGGGTGGTGTTCATACTATTTTCTTTCAGTTTCCTTCCCGGAGAAGTTGCAGATTTTTCAGTGCAGATATTGGCCCACTCTGTCATGCCGGGTTTTATATTCAGTGGGTGCCAATATCGCGCAACCTGATATTTATCACAAATTATTATTATTATTTAATTATGAATGAATGAATAGCCCACCAGCAAATTGACGCTGGGGATTAAATATGCTAAACTCATTATACTCATCATGACATCTAATCTATTAAGGGTATACCGGGTACATACATCACAACCAAATATGAGCGTTTTGGTGACTGATATCGATCAAAATAGCACGTAACTTTGCCGGTGGGGTCCAAGCAGAAATATCTTTAGGTCGGCTAATCCGGTTCACATAGACAGTCCCGATTGGAAGGTATTTGCAAGTATTTAAATGTGACTCCGAAAGTCGCCTTGACTGCCACATCCTTCAAACTGAAAAAAAAAACAAAAAAAAACGAACCAGTCGACCTTTATGTTCCCCAACTACTCTTGCCCATGAACAGAGATGCACAGTGCGTCAACCCCTCCCCCATGGGACATACCCAGCTGTTTAAAGTCAGAAAACTAAAAAACAACTATAGTACTGAATAGGGTATATCCTGTCCCCAACATTAATTCACCAATAAAAAATATGTACATTTTAACAATGCCAATCAATTAATCTCAGAAACCATAAATCCTGATGTAGCATCAACCTATTTATTGTTATTATTATTATTATTATTAGTAGTAGTAGTAGTAGTAATTGGTGGTGGTTATGGTGGTTGTTTGTATTACTGTTTGGCTGTGATGCATGTGCCTGGTATACACTTTTCAAATTTTTTTTAATATAGTCTTATTGTATTTTTGTACACCAGCGCCATTCTATTGGCCCGTTGTTCATTCCCTCAATAGTAATAATTAAATTATAATAATAATTATTATTATTATTGCAAAAACAAACTGATTGACGTAACTCTTCCAATATTTTTCAATACTTAAAATACGATTTAAGAAAAGGAAAAAGGAACGAGAGTATTTCACGATAATCAACAATATTCCCTCAGTAAGTCTGTCTTCATCAAGTTATGCTTAAAAATTATAAAAATTATATAGAAGTAAAAAATAAGAAGAAACTACAATGAAAATTATACGCCTTTGTATTAGTAATAATAATAATTATAATAATAATAATGAGAGTAATAATAATAATATTCTTTTTCATTTGAAACCATTGAAAGAGTTATTGAAGATTATTCATTAATAAAGC